TTCTCTCGTTTCTTTTAAACCACACACAACCCTCTTGAATGATAATTTACAAATGTTGCACACAATGAAAAGAAATATACATTTTTGAAATAATTACTAAATAGTAATCAGCAAAATTAGTCTTGGTCTTACCGTCTTGGTCATGGTCTTGCGAAAAAGACCAAGGCCGAACGAAAAAGACCAAGACTAAACCCAAGAGCAAGATAAATACGCAACACTAAACGAAAAATTATATTGTTACTTCCGGTGGATTTATGAGTTAAACTATTTGAAGCAACTCTTTTCTTGGAGCAAAACATTTTTATATTTCATTTACTTTCTCTAGCGATGGGCCGCTTCCATTATCTTGGATGAGCGCTGGCAAAATCGTAGTTCCTTAAACATACTTTTTCATACAGTACCTGCCAAATGTTTTGTTCAATCATGAATAATAGTGCGAGTCGAAAACAAGCGTGAAAGCCTTTAATATGTCTTCAAATATAAATAAATATCTCGTTGATATTTTCAGTAGTAAATGGTACCAATAACAGCACATTTGAGCAATGCTATTGTAGTGGATAAAATGGTCAATTTTTCCGTGCAGTACTGTACGGATTCTACGCTCCTCACCGGTTAAGAGTTTGGCCGAGAGTTGTCTCCTTCCTTTTTTGGCCTAGTGCTGTTCTTTTCTACTTTGCGCCGATCAAACTGAAGGTCACATCGCTACAGAAAGTAAACGAAGTATAGTATTTGAACTTTTCAGTGTGCTTTACTAGATTTTAACACTAAAAAAAAAAAAAGAAACTTTACCACTGTTTGAAAAAAAAGATCTACAACAAAGTCGTCAGAGTAAATGTCCTTTGTTTCTATGCCTGGATAAGACATGGTTGAAATATAGAGACAAACTAATATCCCAAATGTTCTTATCTTAGTTTTCCTTTGCTCATCACTACTGCTAAATAGTTTAGTTTAAATAAGCACATTATTGTTTTTAGATTTAGTGATGAACTTAACCTCAAACTATTTTCTCGCACTTACTGCTGGGGTAGGAGTTTATTCATCAGTGATGGCAACAGCGTTCTGAATGTAGTTAATACCCTAACATTTAAAAAGAGATAAAGTTTTTGGATGGAGTTAATCTCCGAAACTACTAATCCGATTTCAAAAATTTTTCCACCAGTGGGTACTTAGAGTGGATCTTGACGATATATGTTATTACTTTTAAATAAAAGGTCTTTTTTGTGACGACTAAATTTAGAAACGGAAGTTGACGAAAAAAAGTAGACCTATAGGTACCCGATGTTCTTCGTTATCAGTCGTCATTAGATGACAAATATTGTTACATTATTCTACAAATACGAAGAACACCTAAACAATAGTCCAAGAATATAAATACGTAGTGTCTGTAGTCTCCTTCGAATTTCATTAAGGTCAATGCTTGAATTATATATATGTATATTATACTTTGTTGCATTTAAAAGAAGAGTTGACAAATGCATCACAATATATAAATCACAAAGCTTATCGCATGTCTTTCTCTTTTCTTACAAAACGACGAAAATTAAGAAAGTCCCGTTCCAAACCGTTCGCTTTTAGCGTTTATCAGATGTGACCGCAATACATTGGTTAATGTGACGGATTCGATTCCAGAGCTCGCGTTTATTGGACCTGTTCGCCGTCGGATCCTTGCTCGTCCACAATAATCTTCTCGCTCTGTTATCTCGTCAATTCTTCTTCATTTACTCTTTTCTCTTCTTTTACTTATACCGACCTCTAGAGAACACATTCACGATAAAATTAAATGCAACGCATTGCATGTTTCATCCCTATCTCTTCCTTTATATTGAGTAAGTGGAAAACAGTAGCACGCAGATGCAAGATTATAATTATTTATACCATTTCCATTACCACTTCACCAAACAATTATAGAGTTACTGAACCAGAAGGCATCAAATATTTGACTTCAGGTAGTTTTAGGGTTTGCTTAGTTATTTTTAAAAAGGGTCCACGTGTTTTTACATAGTAATCCCAAACTTTCAAAACAAAATACAATTCCAAATATCAAGAAAAAGATAAGACATTTAAATCGCAAAAACTTTTGCTGCAGTCAAAAGTATTTTTTTAATATTCTCTTATCCAATTAGTTTTGAACACTTCTTAGAGGGAAAGTTTTATCAACTTTTGCCCCCCCCTCTTCTCACATAAAGGTATCGTAAAGCGTTACCTAACCCCCCCTTTCCACTCCTTATGTAGCGCATGCATCGTTACGGTTTTAGGTTTGAATTTCTAATAGTACCAACGTAATACAATTTTAAATAATTTCTACTAAAGGTAAACCTTGCCACCTCCCACCCCCTGACGCCGGCAACAAAATCGTAATATCAAGCAGGACTCCTCCCTCCTTCTAATTGACATTACATAATTTATGAAAAATCTCTTATGACCATGCGTAATAAATGGATTTTATGGTGTGATACAAATTAAGTAAATATATTGAGAAATATATCTGTTTGTTTGTCACCGTGGCTTAATTTTATTAGGCGAGTTTAACTGTTATTAAAGAACCGCCGTCCTCAATTGTATTATTTTCCTAACGGATTTATAATCGGTACATACGAACGGTTTTTCAGTAATGCGTTAATTGAAAGAGGAAAGATTGAAAATGTAACAATAATAATAATAATTAATTCTATCGATTTCACAACAATTCGAAAGTGGAACAAATTACATTATTATCGCTGCCATTATCGAGTTAGTAGGCCGTAATTGTTTTGATGCAATTTTTAAACAAAGCAAACAATTTAATTCCGTTCAAGCATTTTTACTATCTATAACAATACAAAACTGTTATCGGCCACTCTATCTGGGTATGTCAGTCACCTTAAAATAAGCCACGCATAGTGACGTGCGAGACTGCGATGAGATGCTCAGCACGTTCAAGATTTAAATAATGCCCTTCGAACCAGAAAACTTCTATGTATGAATCATTTTGTGAATAAAATTGAAAAATGAAAAACAACGGTTTTCTTTGTTTTATTTTTATGACTATTGCAACTTGCATTGTTTTAATGGAACGTACAGATAAATTTTATGATTTCGAATAAATACAAATATTACCTCCTCAATAGAGAATATACCTACTAAATCAATAAGGTATGTATAAAAAGATAATACGAAAGATTAAAAATAAAAGATAATAACGAAATATGAAAAACCTGCAATTACATCATACGCAGTGCTATATATACAGGTGGGGCTTAGGGGAGCTGCAGCCCTGAAAGTCTTAGATAAAAGGTCTCGTATTCATAAAACAATTTAAATAATAGTGAAAACTAAACACTCTTTCAAGTAATAAAATCCAGCAATCATTATTTCAAATAAATTGTAAAATTTGTACCTACCACCTTCTTTGTGTTTTTCAACAATTTTTTACTTACATATTTTTTTGTATAATTTTATTAGGCAAGAGTAAAAATAATATCAAGTAAAACAGTTATTTTGCCACTTCCTCCAAATATGCTCAGATATGTTCAGGCTTAGCTATTATTATTGTGATGGATATAACTGTTGATAATTGCACCGAAGACTAATTATAAAAGACTAATAAAAAATTATTTTTTTATTAAACCATTACCGATAGACAATATAGAGTCCTTATAAGAGGGACATCTCACCACATAGCACCACACAAAGCCGGTAGTAGTCGCATGGATAAATTCAATTAGAATACAAGGCAATTTAATATTTCAAATTAATTGACAATGTACGATAAGTAATGATTTTATTTGTTATACTATCAAGGCAAAGTGTCTTTAATTAATTGTTCTGTTCATCAACAAAAAGAATTATCAATTTTGATAGCCGTTACAATTATAAAAATGCTGTTTTTCATTACCTATTTTATCTGACACCATTCATCATGATAATTTATTACAAAATAGAGGCTAAACTCAACGAATTTCTTAAAGAATTGCTTCAATTCTGTCTCGTTAATTAGATACTTTATCAAACTAAAAAACCAATTTTATGCTATTCGTGTTATTTTAACTATGTACACGTCCTAAATTAAATGTAGCTACATACGAGTATTTACACGATGAAGGGATAAAATATTTGTGTATGTTTTTACTTTCGAAAACTATATCGCACTAATCGGACATATTCTTTTGTTTGATTAACCTTCAATTGGTATTAACGACATTCTACATACTACAAAACACTACAAATACCTAACAGAAACCAGCCAATTGTTGGATAATAGCAATTTACTCATAAATTAATACTTTACTTGTTTCTCGTATTTCTACGCTTGAAGGAGAATACTTGAACACTTAAACAAAAATTAAATGTTTATTAAATTATTTTGGCGGTTGTTTTTTATAAATTTAATAACTTTTAACACCTTTTGCTTTTGTTTTCACAGCTATTATAAAGAAGGGATAAATCGCGAACAGAATTTATTAAATACCATATAATTATGGATTGTTTGGTTTAGAAAAGTTACCTTTACAGGCCTATTCGAGTCATTCGAGTAGTAGTGTTCTAATTGTCCTTCAATAAGGACCGTTGAAAAGGATATTCTGTAAAATCCGTAGACTACAAATCGTTATTAACTTGAAAATCCTGCCAACTTATTCAGAGCTCAGTACATCGATATACATAAACGAGAGCCCAATTTTATCGTCAGTAATGTTTGGTCCATTTTGTTAAAATGTGGAATTTGAATATACGTTGATTTAATTAAGAATTTAATTCCTTAACAATAACACTTTGATTGTTTATTAGTAGAAACTATTACTACTACTACTACTTAAAATGTTTACTACAGTATTCATTTGACGAACTAATTAAAATTGTTGACCTTACATAGTTTTCTGTTAAAATTGCATATATATACTCAATTAACGAACAAACTTGAAATTCTGATTTTATTCTCAACGTCTAAAAATAATTTGAATGATCCCGCCAAACAGGAACAGGTCAACATTTTCCACTTAATACAGAGGAAACTTATTTCTTACCTTGCTGCCATCTTCTCTAAATGGTGGCCTCCGTTTCCGTTTGTTCAACCCTGTAACAAAAAGGAAATAGATGCACTTAACACTCTGGTTTTCGTGAATCGCGTGAGACGCATTTCAAATTACATCTGCTTATGTTTGCAAGGTATTAAAATGCACTTCACAACCAGTTTTATCTTCTTTGATGCGTAAAACTAAGTGAACTATATAACTCGCCTGTAATACTACATATTATACTTATTTGGTATGTAAGTAAGTGAGGCAGTAGGTAGTTAATATGTAGTACTTACTAACAGCTAATCGTTTCGATGTTTATTCGATCCCTAAAAAAAGTACAATAAAACAAGATAAGATATGAAGTTCCCCAATATTTTGCGCGCGCGATAGGGATATTTATGCATGTTGTACACAGCACATATAATACGTACTATACGTCGCATTCGATAATGTGTGAGTGTGTGTCTATACTGTATGTATATGCGTATATGTATATGTGCAACATGCGATTTCGATTACGTTTGATTTTAAACGATGCTATGGTTGCACCCACGTTTTGATTAGGTCCCTGATAACACCGAAGACTCGACATTTCCGATGTGAACTTAGGCTTGTGACGCTAGCCAATTGACTAACAAATGGATAGGTAATTACACCCATTGTACAAATGTGATAGATAAGTAAATACATTTTTTATTAATTCAGGTGCAACCCATCGAAAATCTAACATCTAGTTGTAATAGATACTAAAGGAATCCTTATTTTTTATACTAAATGAAAATTTTTTATACAAAAAGCGTTCTTTTCTGTTAAACAATGATGTAAAATTTAAACAAAATACAAAATAGCATATTGTGTAATACTTTCTCTTGATTAGAAATATGATAAGTATCCGGTTTGGATCCAGTACCAAGCGGATTTGACACTGGATATAGGATCCGGTCGGACGCTGGATAATGGCGATTTTTTTAGAACGTTGGTGAGGGTGATGTTTAATAGAAAGTGGCCAAAACGATGACATGAACCATTGATTGTAGCGGTTTTGTCAGGTACTCGTTAGAGCTAATGCCGGGTACACGGTTATCCGATCACTATCCGATACATCTCAACTTTTGATAGCTACTGCGTAGCAAAACTATGGTTTTATTAAGTTTATATTGTATTTTATTTAAATTTTACATTCTTAACAACTTTTATAAAGTACAAATAAACTCAATTTTGTAATTTTAACAAATTAAAATGAGAAATTCTATAGTGGTACTACTACAACTTCAATCGATTTTTCAAGTATATTCTCGATTTTGATAAAAATAGGTTGATTGCCTTAAAAACACCCTGTATAAAAAGGGTTCTTAACTGTGTTACAAAACCTTTACGAAATGAAATTGGAAATATAATTGTTTCCTGATTACCCTCACGCAGGTGTGTAGGGGTCTTTATTGAGTAATTCATTTGTTAAGTTCATTCAATTCACCCTTCACAGTCATTTAACTGTTTTATTCCAATGTCATAAGCGCCTTTATTATCTTAGAAATATTACTCTGTAAATTCCATTTAGTTGGCAATATAACCTCACAATAATTCTTTTAATATGTACATATATGTGTGTTCTTTTTCAAACGCCATCTTTTTATTTTTGCTGTTTAGACTGTATCTATAATACTTTCAGATCATTTTTAATCATATTCTGTTATCTTAAATAAATTCCTTCCTTATCACAAAATTTGAGTATAGGTTTACTATAAATTTTAATTTTAACAGACGGGCTGAAAAGTTTGTAGACTAGCATAGACTAAATAATTTTTTTTGATAGAATTTGATTTTATTATTTGATATAGTTCCCTTCGAGGGCGATACAACGATTATAGCGGTCATACAATTTTTCGATACCATTTTTTATAATACGATTTGTCTTTAGCCTCAAAATAGACTTCAGTTTCGGCGATTACCTCTTCAATGGGCGCCAGCGAGCATTCTCTTGAGGTCTGAGAACAGAAAATAGTCGCTGGGGGCCAGATCTGGAGAGTACGGTGGATGCGGAAGCAATTTGAAGCCCAATTCATGTAATTTTACCATCGATTTCATTGATTTGTGACACGATACATTATCTTGATGAAACAGCATTTTCTTTTTTAAACAACAAAAGTTCTTTCACTAAAAATGCTATAACTTAGACACTAATAGTGCAACAGCTGTCAAATTTATACACGTGTCTTTTGAATGTTAGGGCTAACTAAAAATCATATGGATTTGATACCAGTAGAGCCATACATGGGTCGGCCTACCTACTTTTCAGCCCGCCCTTGTACTGTTATGTTTATGTGCACATAGTTATAATTAACTATTGTTTTGTAGATGAGGATAAGGAATCGCGTATGGACAAAGTTTGACAGACTCTACATCCCATTCTACAAACATTGACCTGTTTTGTTACCGATACTTAACAATACTCATAATTCAAGATAACTTAATAAGTATTGGAGTAAGACAGTATAAAAATGTTTATGATATTTGGACTATTTGTTACTTTTAAGAAAAACTCTCTGCTAAACTATATTGTCGTTAGTCCATAAAAAAATTGGGATTCAATTTTTGGTCGTCTGTGTTAGTCAACAGCTTAACAATTTTGACGTTAAACGAAAAATGCCAATATTTATTCAATTGGAATAAAGCACACATTCTCAACCGGGCGAAAAAATGATTGGACCCTTTCAAAAATGCTTCGGAACGACGGAAATACGCTCGGAAATGACAATTATCAAACGAACGATTCAGAAGTGAAGAGACACTCAGGTCGCATGCAGCGAAAAGATAATCATTTTTTTTTCTGGATCTATTCTGCGAACAGACAATTTCCGTCTTTTGCGTTGCGTTTTATGAACGACAAATTTAAAAACTTGATAATCGTTTTCCTTGTTAACGTCCCTCGAAAAATAGAAGTAATTCAGCGACTAATTTAGGCAGCACAGGTCACAAAATGAAGAGGGTGTGTTGCTTTGATAACATTGTGTGTACCCCCATCAACCGTGGTTAAATCGGTCGAAAATTTTTGTGTTCGATTAAAAATGATATAGAAAAACGGCAAAAGACAATCGATTAACCCTTTAAAAACAAGGGTTCTGTAATAATACTAAAATCGGGTGACCATTAATTAATTTAAAGATCAAAGTGGGTCATAGACCCTACTTTCAATATATAGGATCACTTAATTGTGTTACTAAAGTATTCGAAATTAATAAAAAAAAAAAGAATTATATACAAGAAACAGAAAAACTCGTTAAACACATCTTCGTTTCAATAAATGAGTTTATTTAATAGTTTTGTCAAAGATTTAAAATTATAGTTAAAAAAAAAAGGGTGCTTGTCAAGCCTAGTGATAAGCAAAATTGGTCTTGGTGAAAGACCAAGAGCAACATTGTCTTTACACTTGCAAGACCAAGATCGAATGAACAAGACCAAGACTAAAATTAAGATCGAATATGCAAGATCAAAACCAAATACACAAACTAAATGAAATATTATAGTCCCTACTTCCGGTGGATTTGTAAGTTAAGCTATTTGACGCAACTTTAATATATTCATTTTTTGGATCAAAACATTTTTGTATTTAAAGATTTCAGTTTATTTTGCTTATCTTAATCATCATCATCATAACGTCGTCAGTTCTAAGACTGATTGAACACGCATCTCCACTCTCTCCTACCCTGTGCTAACCTTCGCATTTCCTTAAACTAGAACATCCCACATCTTTAATTATTTGCGAACAGTAATCTAATCTAGGTCTACCTCTACCCCTCCTAACTCCTGTTTCTGCCTCTAATATGTCTCTGACTAGACCTTCATTCCTGAGAAAGCGTCCTACCAACCTATCTCGTCCATCTCTTATTGACTTCCACAGAGTCCTCTGTTCTCCTATTTATTTTAATATGTGTTCGTTTCCAAGCTTCTCTATCCACGGTATCCTTATCACTGTTCGAAAAAAGGGATCTACAAGAATGTTATTAGAATAAGTGTTCTTTGTTCTTATGTCTGGATAACACATGGTTGAAATATAGAGATAAACTAATTATTTTTTTTGAGCAAGATCAAGCCTTAACACGCAAGACGAAGACCAAGACTATATCAGGAAGACCAAGACTAAGACAAGAATTATTTGAGTAAGACCAAGACTAAGACGTAGTAGGCAAAACCAAGACCAATACCAAGACTAAGACAGTCACAGTCAGGCCTTAAAAGTGTGGCGAAATAACTGTTATTGTTTTGGTTTTGTGTGTAATTATTTTTTCTAATTTTTCCATTTCAAATAAAATTCTATAGTGGTACTACTACAACTTCAATCGATTTTTCAAGTATATTCTCGATTTTGATAAAAATAGGTTGATTGCCTTAAAAACACCTTGTATAAAAAGGGTTCTTAACTGTGTTACAAAACCTTTACGAAATGAAATTGGAAATATAATTGTTTCCTGATTACCCTCACGCAGGTGTGTAGGGGTCTTTATTGAGTAATTCATTTGTTAAGTTCATTCAATTCACCCTTCACAGTCATTTAACTGTTTTATTCCAATGTCATAAGCGCCTTTATTATCTTAGAAATATTACTCTGTAAATTCCATTTAGTTGGCAATATAACCTCACAATAATTCTTTTAATATGTACATATATGTGTGTAGCAATTT